CGAAATCTTAAACATCTCCAATGAAATAACCATTAGTTTCTATCTTCTCCGATTTTTTAATTTTTTTATATTTACTCATCCTCAGTTACAAGTACAATATTAATTGGAATATAATACGATGTTCATTCATTTGATGTTATGACAAAAGTCTCTACAAGCTCAGTATACTTACATAATTATTAGCATTACCGAAACAACTTAATTTCATAACGTTGCAGCCATAAATAAAACAATCTGATTATAAAGTGTACTTTGTAAAGTTTGTTTCTTTATTATTTTTTGTGCGATGCTACACAATGGGTAACATGTGCAAAACTGTCTCTAGTTTTAAAAAGGCTGGGCTAGAATGAAGGCAGCTACTCAAAAGCCCACACAGTCAGCTTCTGAGTTACTCTTATCTTACTGAAAGTAGGATTTGACAATTACTCTTATTTTGCTCTCACAGCATTAAGGTGTGGATCCCATTTTTGTGGAAATGTGGCTTTTAAAAGTACCGATAATGTTTTCAAAGAGAAAATACTCTAACATGACAGGTATTGAGCATTCCTTATTTAAACATAGCATTGAACTCTTTCTGATATGTCTAAAAAAATTATAAAAACATCTAAAGTCATTAACGAGAGTTAACGCCACCCATTCATTTCATCTAATCACACACTGGATAAATGCTTTTTAACCTACAGAGAAAGATTCAATTAATCTAACGTTAAGCCCCTTAATTAAAATACATTTACAGTAATCTGAATGTCAAAAGAAGTAACCACATTTGTTATACCAATCTATCCTTCTGCCATGTTAGATACGAAGGGTGGCAAAGTGAAGGAATCGTTATACATAATGAATAGTTTATGAATCGCAAGACGAATTGACTGCTATAAAATATCTCAAACATTATCAGGGATGTCGAAATTTTGGCAACAGGGAAAACTTTAAAGCATCATTTACACACGCAAAGTTGATGCATGAATGGTAAAGTACCGAGCTTGTAGGTCACCCCTTTTGTACTATCTGGGAAATGCTATACACCAATCTTATATTATTATAAATCATGCTAAGTGTGCCTTCATTGATGTGGCATTCATTACCTAGTTTGTCCTATTTATTTACTGTTATGAGTCCGGGGGCACTGTACAGTAGCACGTGTGGTGCTGCTGTAGAAGTGAGTGGTGAGCTTATATGTTCCTTTGTAATATTTATCCTATAAAGCCTTTGGACATAATAAACTTAATTGTGTTCTAACAGTTCAATGTCAGTGAATATACTGTTCAATATTAACCTGATCACTCATGCATTCCATCTTAAATATTTCCCTGTTAAACACAATCCTGATGTAACTAGTTATTCCTGAGGTATAATATAGTGACATGTTTAGTAGTTATACATCTAATACAACTTGATCACTCATGCATTCCATCTTAAATATTTCCTTGTTAATCACAATCCTGATGTAACTAATTATTCCTGAGGTATAATATAGTGACATGTTTAGTTTTATTGCTAATACACATCTAACAATATATATAATGCTGTAGTTGGTCAATTTATGGCTGGAAAGGTATGTAATATCCTTTTTCAATGAAGAGTATTAATACAGAGAGACAGTTCAATGATGTAGAGCCAATGTCTACTGTGGAAGTAAAAACACTCGCACAACAGAGCGATTAAGACAGTAACTGGTTCGAAAATATTGCCTCAAGCCATCAGTAGCAACGTTTCATCACAAGATAACAGCCGTGGTAGAGAAAGTCTTTGTTATGAAGCTGGACATGTCTCTGGGATAATAAACAAGAATTTGAGATTAACGAAAGCTTCCATGTCTTTAGGCTCGAATCAGAATCAATGACTGTCCTCTTGAGAAAGATGTGACAGTAATCTCATTCGATCACGTGACAGTAAAACCCAGGAATGCAACAAACATGGACATTTGTGCCTTTGTTCTCTTTGAGCATGTTCTTCGATGTCAACGTACATGTACATTAGAGGGGCTATGAAAACTTATCAAGAGTCTAGGATTGTCTTTGCCATCTTTCGAAGAAGCTTGTTATAATGTAGAATATTAACATTATGTCATTTTGAGCAAACAACACAGACAGAATGATAACCAAGTACAACAGAAGTGTACTTGCTCATCTCAGGTGCGTAATATGTAGCATGATGTACGTAAAATTCAAGTAGGTTACACACACAGAATGATAAATAAATACAACAGAACTTTACTTGCTTATCTCGGATGCGTAATATGTAGCATGATGTACGTAAAATTCAAGTAAGTTTAGGTAACAAACTAATACGAATAGTCTTGTAGCCACATATACATATAATATAAAAACATTCTAAATATAAAACAATATTTCGTTTCGTCTTAGAATTCTATGAAAACATATATCAGAAAAATGATATTCATTTGTACTAATAACTAGAATTATGTAACTAATAAATGTTTCATTGAATTCAAGTAGAAAATTTTCCATTTACAATATCCTTCCGCTTATTTTCGTCGTCCCAATGGAAGAGCGATAAATCTACAGGTTTACTACTCTAAAATCCGGGTTTAGATTCCTCGCTGTGGACACAGCAGATAGCCCATTGTGGCTCTGCTATAAACCGAACGTTTCCTCAATATTAGAGATTATTTTGGGGTAGCAAAATAACACGTTCCAAAACTCACTATTATAGTTGTGAATTAATAACTTTCGACTGTTGTATTACACAATGTCAATGTATAGTTTAATACATTAAATATTTGATCACTTCATTGTGCTACAGGTACCTTATAATCGTTAGATTATTGAATTAAAAATAGCTTTATTAATCAGCAACTGCTGTTAATCCAGGAATAATTATGCTTCAAAATTTCAAAGTGTTAAATTTTCCACTAAAAATACAGTAAACATGCATGTGTACTTACATTATGTAAGTAGAAGCTCCAGATAGCGGCACTATTATAAACTTGTATGTACATTTTATACTTTTCACTATATATATATATATATATGAATAACAGATAATGTGTTTTGTTCAAGTTAACTATGTTCCCTGCTATAAAAGAATGGCATATATTTTTTGTTGCTCACATTAGAATAGTGGTCAAATTTTATTAATCTAAGTTTTGATAAAAACTAAAACTTTTCCTGGTTTGACTATTTTTACTCGTGGGCGAAACTTCAAACGTTTGAATTCATTTCTTAATTACTTTGATGTTGTATTAATTAGATCGGCTGTATTGTGAAGAGATAGATCTAGGAGATATAACTCGGAAAAATTTAACTATGCATTAATTTTTGAAAATTTTTTATGCTCTCAATGTATAAAGCAGCCGTGACAAAATTTAATCCAAAATTAAAGTCTATCATTGCTTTGTAAGAAGAGATAAATTGCCATTAAAATGTTTTAATTTCGTTTGAAAGCGGTATGTAATTCATGTTAAAATCGAACTTACAGGTTGAACTACCATGTTATTTGTATTATTTCACCTGACAAAGAACTCTCTAAAGACCCTAAACTTCTGGATTAATAAAACCTTTAAACATAGTGCTTTAGCCTGTAATTTGTTTTAAGGTATCACTAATTCTGCAGACGTTTTTCAAAACAAATTTTTCGTTATATATATAATCAATAAGTGAATAACACAGAAATGCATAGTGCTAATAAAAACTTCCACAAAGGGATGTCCAGCTTATTTTCTCTTGTGTATCTACAGATAATTCCGCTTATTTAGAATGAAATATATGTATAAACTTGACTTAGTTTTCTTCTTATATTTGTGCATCTCTAAACAAGTCATCTTATAGTTATATTCCAATGTGTTGTTTTTCTCTTCTACTAGATATGTTTCATGAACTTTTAGTAAATATGATATTATTTGACGTAAAGTTTCTATTGTTTATAATTTGAGAGTAGATTAACAATCGTATTGCATAATAATTTGAACTGTTGAAGCTTTGCTCTCTTTACCTTTGTTTAATGAAGTAGATATCTGTATATACAATATTTTCGATACTTTAAAATCATAATACTCTTCGTTAGCAAGCTTTCCTTTAAATTGTTTGCAGTATTGTTTTTTTTTTGGATATTGTATTATACGACAGTTTAAGTGTAAACGTATAACACATCATTAAAGACAAAACAGCTTCCAACATTATCTAAAATATAGAATCTTAACATTTATCTTTTCTCTTCAGTTGCTCAGAATATACTACAAATGATTTTATCATATATAAGTAATACTAACTTTAAACATTTATCAGTCGTTTGAACAGTGTCCATTTGTTTCTATTGGGCGTATTAGATTAGTGACTTGGCAATCCTGTGTCTTTTTTCTAAATGTTTTTGAACACAAGTTAAACCGCAAGTACACTTCAAAACTTATCAGTAACGATATATTAAAGTGACTATTGCGAAACAGTAGAACTGTAAGTGAACATATATGTTTGTTAAAATGATCAAATAGATATGAAAAAGGTTTTGGTTAGTTATCTTATAAGGTTATGAAGTATATGAATGAGACTCAAAAACTCAAAATGGGATAAACTTCAGGAAAACGTAAATATCCAACTAAACCCTGTTGCAGTTAATGGAAGCTGAATCAATGAATTGCATGGTAATTCAAAAACGTTTATTGGTCTCAGATTCCGACATTCGTGGTATATTTAGAAAATTCTATCATTCACGCGGCTTAATTTTACAATAATTAAAATCGGTTATTTAAGCAGAAAAATTTCAGTATCTTACATCCTACTCTACTCAGCTTCCAGGTATTGGTATTAGTTAATGTAACAAATATCGCGCGCAGCATACATAAATCACTCAATTCCTCTATTTCAAGTATTTTATGAAAAGCGTATGTATAGTTCAGGATTGTTACGTAAACATTCAAGGTTTATAACATGTGTCAAATTTGTTCTATTCTAAAAAGAGTTGTTTAACAAAGTACTAATCACTACTTATATGTTTATTTTGTGCTTTATTATTTCTACTGATATTGATTTTTTTTCTAACAGACTTTTCACCTGGCTAGCTGGAGCTGGTTATTAGCTGGTTTGACCAACTTCCCTTGTTTCTTTCTTTTTCGTCAAATGGATTATCAGAATCAAACCGTCTGTAGAAATGTGTTGTATGATGCTCCTGCTGTCTTTCTCAAAGTCTATCTAACAGCTGTAGTTGTGCTTGTCTTCATCATTCCCTTACTGGTCATCAGTGTTTGTTACACCAGAATAATCCAGAAGATATCTCAGAAGGCAGAAGAAATTGTCTGTCAAACAACGTTCGGGAATGGTGCACGTCCAGATGGATTTGCATTACAACGTTTACCAAACAACTGCTTATCCCGAGCTAAGCAGAAAACTTTGCGAATGACGTTTGTGGTAATTACATCTTTTCTGCTCTGCAGCTCACCTTACTGTATTGTTGAAATGTGGAGAATGTATGGCAATGCCACCTACATGAGTGCCATGACTTATTCTATCCTTGCTGCCTTAGCTGTTTCCAACTCTTCTACAAATCCTTTTGTCTTCCTCTTCTTTCATTGCAGTGTAGGCGTTAGACGTCCAGCTAGGATCCTCAGTAGACAGCTTAGTAATTCTCCCAAGTTCAGGCTCTTTACGTCCAAACTTCGCCATCAGAAGGAAGTCTCTTGTCCTCAACAAAATGATATTTTTCTTGATGTAAAGTCCAGAGATACATCAATGGCCAGTAGCTGCTTCAACAACAACACACGTTACCAACTGACCAGAGTGCAAAACCGTCATCGGAAAGCAAAAGGTTTCATGGAGACGCAGCGGCTCTGAATACATGTTTTCAAATTTATATGTTTTCTGATCTATCCGTTTGCATGCTCATCATCGTCTATTTTACACCCCCCTCAAAAGCCTCTGAATATGAAATTGTGATTGGTATGAATATATTAACATAACCTGGATTTGAATACATTAATGGTAACAACACTAGATGTTCTTTATATGTGTGTGTATATATATATATATACTTCCTGATTTAATCTGCTTATATATGATGATGTTACTTATTATGCCTAAGCGTTTAACATCCTTCCGTGTATAGAAATTGAATAAAGTTTAATCTCTAAATGTTATAGTGACATCAGAACCTCTGAAAGTAAAGGGTGTCCAATTAGCATGAGCTCCATTAGATTTTAACTCAGTCCTTTGCAATGTTCTTCCTTCATCAATACAATAAAAACGATATAATTTCATTGTATAGACCACGTTTGGAGTATTGTGTTCAGACTTGGGTTCCTTACCTTAAGAAGGACATTAAATTGTTGGAAAGGGTTCATAGGAGGGTTACTAACCTTGGATTGAGAGGTTTTCATATGAGGAGAGGTTGAAATCTCTCAAATTGTTTTCGCTTGAAAAAATAAGAGTTAGGGGATCTTATTGAGGTGTTGAAGATTGTAAAGGGAATTGATAGTGTTGATCATCTTTTTTCATACTTAACAGTGAGAATAGTAGGACTAGGGGACACAAATATGAATTTTAATAGGGTAGGAATCATCTTCAGCTAAGATAGTTTAATTTTTCTAACAGGGTGGTTGGCCTTTGGAATGGGTTGCCTTCAGATGTTGTGGAGGCAGTAAATGTAAATGAATTTGAGAGAAAGCTTGATAAGTATATGAATAATGAGGGCTGGCTTTAAGATTTTTAAAAAAGTTATTCAATAATAGTATTAGTTTAGTTTAAAGAATGGGACAGCCGAGATGGATCAATAGATCTTATGTTGTATATATAAAGAGGGAGAAGCGCATGTCTTCTTGCTTAAATTATCCATTTATTAAACAATGTTCATAAGTATATAGATGTGTGTGTGTGTTTTCTTGTAAAAGATGTTACAGTCTCACATAAAATTTCTATTCCATATAAAATGATATATATATATATATGTGTGTGTGTGTGTATGTAACACTTGAATAAAAAAATGTTACAGGTATTCGTTGAAGTTGATTCAGTGTTAAAGCTAAAATACGATAATATCATTCTCATGCCTTTAATGTTCTCGATGTACCTTAACATATGACTAAGAAATAAAATAGTTAATATCTTAATAGCGACTTTTGGCACCATTATTTCTCATTTTCCCGATACGATATAGTTTTATGCTGTATGCTTCCTTCTTGTTGTTACATATTACAATTTCAAATAACCTAAAACTGAGTTAAATTATAATTTAGGTTTAGTAGTTAAATGAATGCCGATATATATGCAATTTATTATCTTTGGCAATAAGATTGATACACACGGTTTTCTTTTTTAATACAAATATATTTTAATATACAAACAATATTACAATTTACAATAACGGTTATTACCAAATAGTTATTATAAACAATGATTTATATACAAAAGTTTTACAGACTTACAAACAACATATAAAGTCTTCCTTCTGGTCTGAAACTTTCTTGATATCTTATCGAGTGTTCATGATGAGCGAATTAATTTCGAGTTGATGTAGGTACAATTCACTTAATAGGGAACTAGCTAGTTCTATGGTGTTCACTGATCACACGCCGATTTTTTTCTATCGATGACGTTAGGTAATGTTTTCGTAAAAGTACTAATATCCGATGTGAATTCACTGAAGTTAAATGGTTTGTAAGGTTCGAAACTTGTAAATGTCCCTGGTGAAATATCTGAAGTGTCCCGATTAATAAGCGTTATAACAATCACAGTTATAGCTTCTGAACCAATAATATATCCTGTTTTTAGGCGTGTCGCATTGGTTATATTTGTAGGCGTGTGGAGAGTTTCTGGAAATTTCAGGTTACGCAATAATACAAACGCTATACTAGCGTTTACGTACACACTTATATTGTTGATTTTTAGACTCGAGAGTTTTCTACAACTTTAGAGAATAGATGGGATTTTCGCTATACAGATTTAACAATATAAGTTGTGTACATTTCTAAACATACATCGATATTAAAATAAATATATAATAGTAAATCCGTCATATTGTAAATGAGTGTTATTAAAATGACTCCAATGAAAAGACACTACCTTAATTTCTTATAATAAGGTCATGACTTGTTTCTACACTATAATTCTTTACAGGTATGATTTATCTTCACCAACTATTGTGGATGTATTTGCACAAGCACTCACGTGACCAGTACGCTCAGTAAAAAAATGATCAATATACACATAAGTGCAACCACTAAACTTCTCTTTAAACTGAAAAATGACACCAAGAAAATATTGGAAATAAGTACTAAAATGTTAGTAATTGTGTGTTTGTTTTTTTTTTTTTTT